TTTTACATTTTTTTTTAGCCAGTAAGCTGGCGGCTGGCTATCTAGCCAGTTAGCTAGCTAGCTGGTGCTTGGCTAGCTAGCTAGCTAGCTAGCTAGCTAGCTGGGGAGTCACCTGGAGGTCCTGCCTGGCCTCTGCAAAGTCCCTGAGGGCCTGGGAAACTCCAGCAGCTAGCTGGAGGTCATCAGCAGCTAGCTGTCCAGTGAGAGCAGCAAAAGCAGATTTGATTCTGGAGAAGGGGAGGCTGAGTTGCTGCAGCTTGGCGTCGGCCTGCTGCAGCTGCTGCAGCTGCTGCTGCTGCTGCTGCTGCTGCAGCTGCAGCGCAGCAAGCTTGTTCCGCTCCGCCCGCAGCTCTGCTGCTGTTCTCGCCAGCTCTTGCTGCGCCCGAGTGTAATCTCCTTGAAGGGCATTTTCTATTTCTTGTCTTTGCTTCCTTTCTTTTGCTGCTGCTGCTGCTGCTGCTTCCTGCACTGCTGCTAGCTCCTGCTGCAGCCGGTCCCGCTCGGCTGCTGCGTCTGCTTCCCGTGCTGCTGCTGCTGCTGCTTCCCGCTCCACCTCTTTGAGCTGGCTCTGCAGCAGCAACAGCAGCGAACCGCTCACAAGGAAGCGTTTAGGGATTAGGGTTTAGGGTTTAGGGTTTAGGGTTTAGGGTTTAGCGAGGCAGCGGTGCAGCATGAGACGAAATGACAAAAACACAAAAAGGAAGAAGAGACAGCAGCAGCAGCAAAGAGGCAAAAGCAAGAGAGCAAGAAGGGCCCAGAAGCAGGCAGCAGCAAGCAGCAGCAAGCAGCAGCAAGCAGCAGCAAGCCGCAGCAAGAAGTCCCTTCAGCCGCAAGCAGCAAAGCAGCAAACACTTGTAAGAACAAGTTTGCTGCCGCTGAGCTGTACAGACACCGAAATGCACAAATCTATAAAAGCGAAAATCCCAAATGCAGCTGCAGCTGCTGCTCGCAGCAGCAGCAGCTGCTGCTGCGGCAGCCGCGGCGGCAGCAGAGAAGCAGCAGAGGGGAAACAGCAGCAGCAGCAGCAGCACAGGCAGAGGCATAGGAAGAACCAGAAGCACTGCACGCGCAGCAGCAGCAAATGAAGACCTGCAGCAGCGCAGCAGCAGCCCTGCAAACACAACCACAGCAGCAGCAGCAGCACCAACAGCAGCAGCAGCAGCAGCAGCAGCGGACCTGCGCCTTCTGGGCGTTGGCCTGGAGTGTGCGGGCCCTGTCCTCTGCTGCAGCAAGCTGCTTCTTGAGGGCGCAGTTTGCTGCTTTGAGGCTGCTGGATTCTGCTGCAGCTTGCTGCTTGAGTTTTGCTGCTGCTTCGAGCTGGGTCTCGAGCTGCTGCAGCTTGCTGTCGGAGTTTGCTGCGTCTGCTGCTGCTCTGTCGGCTTGCTGCTGCAGCTGCGCGCGCAGCCTTGCTGCTTGGCGCTCCAGCTCTTCTTGTCTTTTGCTGCAGTAGCTCATTTGGGATTCATCTGCTGCTGCTGCTTGCTGCAGCGCGCGGATTTGTCTTTCTTTTGCTGCTAGTTGTGCTGCTGCTGCTTTTTCTGCTGCAGCAACTTTCTCCTCGGCGCTGTCGAGCTGCTGCTGCAGCGCGTCGCGAGCAGCAGCAGCAGCAGCTTTGATGTCTTTCATTTCCTGCTTCACCTTCGAGACCAGCATGTTGCGTTTTGCTGCTGCTGCTGCGAGCTGCTGCTGCAGCAGCTCCGTTCCCCT